TTGTGGCAAACTTAAACAAGAACTACCAAAAAGCCAAAAACAATCCTCTTGGACCAAGAACAATCCTCTTGGATTTTCACTATGTCAACAATGAGAACAATCCTCTCAAAGTGACTACACTTGTATCCAACAATCCTGGAAAGACAAGATTTAAAAACACTTAAACTTATTTCTAACAATCCTGAAAAATAAGTAAGTAACTATCAATATTTGATTTTGAGTGAGTTGAGTAGAATTGATCACTTAGAGTGATTTAACAATGAATGATATTCTCTTCCAATAATAATATTGTACAATGACTCAAGATATAATTGTTCAAATTTTTCTGTTTAATAATGTATGAAAGTGTGCAGAAAACTTATGTATGAAAGTGAAGAAAAGCTTGAGTTTGTATTTTGAAAATTCAGAAAATATATTTGGAAGAGGTGTTGAAAATGATTTTGAAAATGAATATTTATATGTTCATAGCACCTTTTTGAAACATCATAAAGTTCTGAAAATGAATCATGAACAAATGTCAAGATTGAGTGAAAGGTTTCAATGAAAAGGTATTATGAACAGGCATGTGCAAAGCTGTTGTTTTTCAAAATCGTGCAGCATGCAATCGATTGCACCCTTTGTGTAAATCGATTGAACGGGGTTTCAACAGCTATATTTTCAAAAGTTTTAAGTGTGCAATTGATTGCACAAGCGATGTAAATCGATCACATGTAAAGTCAGTAACAAAAAATAAGTGAGTGCAATCGATTGCACAAGCAATGTAACTAGATTGCACTGAGAAACAGAAGCAAACGTTTTGAAAATTTGAAGCGTGCAATTGATTGCACTAATATGCAAATCGATTGCACTCAAGTGAAAAATGAATTTTTAACTTTGAAATACTTGAGTAATGATTTATAAAACACTTCTTATTCACCATTGAGCATCTATATCTTAAGATCAAAGTAAATAATATCATTATACCTTTAAGAGCTTTGAACTGAAGATTTTGTCCGTAGATGCTTTGAGCTTGATGACAAATCTTTTCCTTCTTTGTCAATCATGGTTTGTCTTCATCAAAATAAAAGTTTATTTGAGAAGCTTGATTTTACATATTTTATTATTTTTGTGATTGGTTATGATTTAGAGACACTTGAGTGTTACTTTGGGATAAGTTCCTCACCCTCGTTGGATCTTGGGTGTTGATAGGTTGAAAAACTATATTCACCAAAATGGATGAATGATGTTGATGATTTTTGAAACCCTAATTTCAACTCATCTAAGACATTGGTTACACTGTCATTTCCCTGTCATCTCATCCCCTTTCTTCTTTCATATTGATTGGTTCTTAGTGGCCCAAACTTGATATTTACAAGCCCAAGTATGGTTAAGTGTTGAGCTATGGCCAATAACCTTGATGGCTCATTGTTAGGAGGCTTTAATTTTATCAATCCTCAAATGATTCTTCATTAACTTTGACCTATGTTCAAGGTTCAAACCATAATAGAACGTATCATTTGAAATCCCCCCTTTTCATCTTTTATTTGAACGATTCTTAGTGGTTCAAACCTAGTGTTTGTAAACCCAAAGATGATATTTTCCTATTGACTATTAACCATTGACTATTAATCACTAACTACTAAAACACATTTAAACCTCAACTATTAATCACTAAGTTCTAACCATTGACAATTAACCATTGACTTTACTTTACACTTTTATTATATGCATTTATCTTATGTCTTTAATTTATGTCATTTACCTTTAGCATTTACATCTCATGTTATTTGCCTTTTTCTCACTTAAGTATTTACTTTCAGTTTTTTATCTTTGCTCACTTGAGCTTTATTTTATTTTGTAAATAAACCTAATAATCAACTTGAACATAAAATCCTTAAATCTACTCGGACTATCTAGTTACTATCCCTAGCCTTGTGGAGTTGTGGATTATTGAAGATGTAGGATTGGGAACCTTGAGATATTGAAACTCTGTGATCTTTGCTGTGATATTTTTGTGAAGTTTTTCTGAAGTCCTTGAGGTTTACTCCAAGACGTTGGTTTGAATTTTTTTCAATGTGCGGGTTATTCTGATTTCTATGATTTTTCTGTGATTGGGAATTCCTATGTATACAGTTATTACTATGGCCAATTTTACTCAGAGACTTTGCTTGGTTCTTTATTCATCTAAAGCTTGGTATTGATCTGAGGTTTAGTATTTTGATTGCTTGGTTTTAATCCAAAGGATAGGAATTCTACATTGACTTCTTTATGTCAAGTGTCGGCTTCTTGTTGGTTAGACTATTCTTCTCCTTAGCTTTTAATTTGTGTACATAGGATATTCTCTTCATCTCCCCCCATCTTCTTTAATTTTCGAAATATTCTCCCTTTTTTAAAACTCTTCTTGTTTTCAAACTTGAAACATTTTCATAGTAAACTTGGACTTAGGTCCCTGCATTTTCAAATTCTTTTTCTCAATCAAACCTTTAATCACTTTAATCATACTTTGATATCTTTTTCAAGACTAAAAGTCATTAACCTCACTAAAACCATTTTTTTACCGCATTGGCTTTTTAATTAAAAAAAATTCTCAAAAGATTAGACTCTTGTTGATTCTTATAGTGATGCAAGCTACTATACTTCTAGGATGTGTGGTGAAGTCATACATTTTCCACTTGGGTGTTGAGTGATGTCTTGCTGATTTTAAATCCAAGCTATGTCCTCCACTTTGAGATGATGAAAATGCTCATTTCTCATAATTGTGGGTAGTAAGTATGTTTTCCACTCGAATATGACGATGATGTCTCTTCTCTTAAAATAAACTAGCACACATGTGTTTTAAAATTTTTAAGGTGAACTACGAGTACCCTGATCCTCTATTGCACGAAGGGGGTATGTAGGCACAAAAGGTTCACAACTGCGGCGGGTGCAAAAATTGTAAAAAAAATACTTCTTTTCTCATCTCCACCATCTATTTTTATATACACATTTTATAGTCAAAATACACAGATTTTCAAAGAGATTCCCACGGAGTACCGTAAATGTTTAGGGTGTTAATATCTTCCATTTGCATAACCAACCCCCGTACCTAGATTCTCTCTTACTTTTTTGGGTTTGTTCGCCATTTTCCCATTTCCTTTGGAAACATTAAAGCGCGGTGGCAAATTTTATTTGATATGTACGAGTTAAGTCAATCCAATGACTTAGTCTCAACATTTCTACCGCTACACCCAGCAACAAGTCCAGGGCAGTATTCCTTTTCAGAGATTGTTGAGGCAGCAGTCAATTATAGGTTTTCTCTCACCTTGTGTTGAGTTTTGAATTAAAATCCCCACAGAGTTTGAATTTTTGTTGTGTTGTTGATTTCTTAATTTCCCTCTAGGTCCAGGATGATATTCCCTCACAAAGGATGTTAATCCCCAAAGAGTTTAACTTCATATATCCTTAGAAGATATTCATCTTTCCTCAACAGAGTCGGTGAAGCTATTACTCATGGATGTATAGAAGATTTTGTGGTGTTGATCCTCAATAGATCCATCTATTCCCCTTTTTAGAGTTGATACAAGTGTTATCTTTCTCAGAGGTTATTACTCTTTGAAGTTTTTTTTATGTATCGCTAATAGGTCTATATATTCCTGTAGTAGAGTTTGTGTATTTTTTATTCCCCTAGAACAGTTGGAATATTTGTATTGTATTTCCTCAAGGGATCTTTCCATTCCCTTAAAGCAGAGTTCATAATTTTATCCCCTCGGTGGATTATTGATGTTAGAAGATTATGCTCTGGTTATTCCCAAGCAGTATCGTCATCTCCTCAGAGAGTTAAGCCTTGTAACAAGACCTTGTGTTGTACCCCAAGATTTTCCTTCCTAATTGTCTCGCTATCTGGCTTAGGCTTTTGCATTCATCTTCATATATTCCATTAGGTCATTAACATAACATTGCATTCAATAAAGCGCATGAGGTTTAAAGTTTAGTGGTCGTGAAATATTAGGGTTTTACAGTGGTTAAGGCGTTCGTATCCAATAAAGGCTAATTTCTTCTTCAAGCATTGAGCAGTGGGATTAGGGTTGTGATCCATGGTTAATTTAAGGTCTCTTTCTCATCGAGGTATAAGGCTATTCCTTCTTCTTAACGACAAGTGGTCAGGTTTTCTTTTCCAAGGATTACAATATTAGGGTTTTAATCTTTGTGCTTCAACTTAGGAGTCATTGGATTATCAATGAAGGACATCAAGGTTTCTCCAACACATTCTTTGGTGCTGAGATAATTGGCCATTAAGGATTGTGGATATGATACAAGATTTGAGTCGAGAGATTCGTTATGATTAAAGCTTGGTTGTTCTCAATGGTTTGCAAATACAAGTTGGTTCAGAATTTTAGTTTAAGTGGAATTCTTCATTCAGCTGACTAATGCCATGGGTCCAAAATTCATTCAAAAGATCATGTGGGATTTGGATTTATTAGTGTTTTAAACTCGAAATTGTTTCAAATGAATCAATGGCTTAAGAATTATGCTAAGAGTGGAAGATTTATTCATGGTTAATGCTTGAAGTTCAAATTACAATATTCATAGCGAGCTTCCTTATTCAAGGTTCATCATGGATTCAATTCCATTCAAACCCATTCAATTTTCAAGACATTATTCCAAGATCAATTTACAAAAGGACCTTAAAATGGTAAGACATTTCTCATTCACTCCAATTTCATTCAAAGATCATTCAAGTGTTTTTTTTATGTAAGTTTGTCAAATAGATCAACATTGAAGGTTTGGAAAGTCCATGCTTGTGGATTGTTTAGAACTCAAAGTTGTCAATACAAGTTTGAATTACATTATTACAAAACTATAACATTCATCAAATTCCAAATTTCAAGTACAAATAATCATCAAGTTTTTACAAATATCTGTCACCATTCAAGTTCATTCAAGGTTCCAATATATTACATCATACCAAAAATATACAAAAATTTACTATGTTTTAAACCTATGTTTTCTTTGCTCCTAAACCTATTCCTAAATTTTATTCTTCAGCCAATTTCCATGATTCTCTTCAAGCTCTGAGGGTCAATTAACATATGAACCTGCCTGCACACCATAAGCATCCCAGCTGCGTGCTCAAATCGCATATATAATGCATCCCTACATCCATCAACAACTAGCCTAGTACAATTCTGATCCATGCCTTGCTTTCGAACAAAATCAAACATGCACATAAGATCAGTCCAACAAAAACCCAGTGAACATTGCATGCCTTCGTGAAAAAAGTTCACATAATTAAATTAAATACAGCTCTACACATTCAGAATTTAACAGTTCATAACTATTCAAACAGGACCTCCAATTAACTTTCACATCTTTCAACCAACCTACTAATAGGGTTAATTCTAACATTAACTTACAAATTTACTAACATTTTCCAACCCTTCTTTTGCTAAATAGATTTAACATTCAGTGTAATAGATAACAGTGAGCTGTCAATAACATGACTTTCAATTTCGGTTTCCAGGACCTCCTAACCATTTTTCAATTAACCTCTTAACTATCTTGAATAATAGCCTCTAGCAGCTTTACTAACAAGGTTTCTAGCACCTTATGAACATTCTAACATATTTTATCTAACACTCAATCTTTTTTTTCATCCTATAACCACCTATAACTGACAGCTAACATTTCCAGTAATTAGCTCATAATTGAAAACTACACTAAGCCTAGCCTATAACTAACTCAAACAACAACTAATTGCTATAACATAATTGTAACTAACCTTTTAACAGATCTAATCTAAATCCTACATTCAATAACAGAAACTTAGATATAATGGTTCAGGATTAATTCAACTCTAACCAACTTTTACAATACTAACAAAATAAAACCAGAAAACTTACCTGGAATATATTTATTCTTCAATCGTTGGAAGAATCACAAAAAAGAACCCTCATCTTCTCTATGCATTCTTCTTCAATCTTCTCTGCACTTTCTCTCCCTACTGCACTTCATCATCACCATAACCAAATCTCTCAACAACTCTTCGTACATCTTCATCACTACAATAACACAAATCCGAATTCAACAACTTCAATAGCATCCACGCAATCAAAGAAAAAATCGGAGAAGAATTGAAGAAGTATTGTAAAACGAGAACGAATCTGAATTCTTGAAGAAACGTGTGCACAGTTGTTGTTATCATCGTCCTCGTTGTTGAAGATGACAGAGGCGAGTGAAGCCTCGTCATCGGAGGATGAAGAATGGCTGTATATGAAGACTGAGCAATCAGAGACAAATAAGAGAACAGCGTCGCTGCAATTTGGAAGAGGGAAGAAGAATTTGTTCCTCAAAGAAGCTCAAGAGTCACAAATGTTATAACCCTAATTCAATCCAAACGCCACCATTTCTGGTTCTATAATTTTTTCTATTCATTTTTTTTTTCTTTTCAATATTAATAATAAAAATTTGTCGAGATAAACAAAGACTAGATCCTTGTGATTAAAGTGAATCGGGCTTGCACCTCATAGGCCCTCTTGTTCTTATTTTTGGTGCCATTGACACAAAAAAAACCTTCTGCTGGATTCTGCATGTCTGGGCCTAGCACCCTGATGGTATTGACCACTCTCTGATTGCAGTTTTCACCCCCTTGAGAATCCTCTTTGTACTTTCTTTTATTGATTAATTGATCTTTTAGTTTTTGTTTCAATTTTATCTATTTTTTGTGTGATATTTCTACATGATTTTTGCTTACTTGTTTACATAATAAAAATGAAAAAAATATTAGAATAAAATTTCAATTCTTTTATTAACTTTTTGTTTTTATTTTAGTCATGTTTTTGGTAGATTTTAACGCCAACTTTGTGTGAGATTGTGGAATAAAAAGAGACTTTGGTCAAGAAGTTTCGAGGAAAACGAAGAGTGCAAGCTCCATTGAGAAAAAATTCAAAAAGGCTTTCTGTATAGTTTTCTCATTGCTTGTGTGGCTTTGAAGAGGCAACATACCTTCTCCATTAGTTGATTTGTGATAATGAGTTCTTGAGGATAAATTTGGTTAATCGTTGGTGGACCTTGTGACGTATTGCTTGAGCTTTTGCGCGCCTCGAAGAGGAAACAATCTTTCTCCGTTAGCTTACTTGAAGTTTTCCTGATTTCACTGTTTTTTCTTTTGGGGCTTTGAAGAGGCAACGGGCCTACTCCGTTAGGTATCATCATGACTTCATTCTTCATTTTCGCATTTTAATGATTTCTAGAGATCATGTCAAGTAGGAATTTTACCGCTTTCCATTCCATGAGAAGTAGGGATGGAGATATATGATGGGGGTCTCCGTTAATGATCATGTCAGGAACCCCACTGGTTTATTTAAAGATTCGTTAAGGGAGATTCGGCATTATATGTATTTGTGTGCTAGTTGTGTATGTTTAAAACCCTACCTTTGAAGTAGTTATTCTGCAGGTGTGTTTACATTTGTGCTCGCATATACTACAGATGAAAATTCCTCAAAAGTAGGTGAGTAGAAAGGGTTAGTAGCCAACCCACGTGCATTCTAGTATGTTTCATCTTTAGCTCACGTTGTACGTTGACGCTTTGGTGTGCCAATATTTTGTATCGAGTCGGTCATGTGGAAAAAGGGATTTGTAATTGATTCCCCATAATTTGTCAAGAGTTCGCAATAGCCAATTTTGACACTCTTCTACCCGTTTGTTTTCTTCGGGTGATTCGCTCCCCTTAGCTAAAGCATTTCTATTCTTTTCTTATTTCATCACTCCCGGTTGTTTGCTTTGGGTGATCCGCTCCCCTTAGCTAAAGCATTTCTCTTCATTTTTCTTTTACCTACCTCGATTCATGATATCTTGGTTAGTCCATCTTGCTTTAGCTAGTGTTCACTACTCTTGCCATGTATGTGATCCCTTTTGTTCGAGCTTGCTACTTTGAGATGCATTACTCTTTCCATGTGTGCACTCTCCTTTGCTTGTTTGGGATACACTACTCTCGCCATGTATGTGCTTCATTTGCTTGCTTGCTTTGTATATACCATGCTCCCTTAGGATGTGCTTGTTTCTTTCCCGATGCAAGCTAGACCTTAGAATAGTCACCAATGCATGCTAACATAGATAAATATCCTCTTTTTATCCTTGACATAGGGTCATCATTGTATGATAACATTAGGCATTAGATTCTAGACAATCTCCTTAGATGTTTTATTTCTTTTTGCATCCTTGCCTTTAAAACTAAAACTTTCTTTTTCCTTAAACTAATAAAAACACTCTCTAACATCTTAAACCCTTTATTATGGTAAAAAAACACTAACAAACTCCTTTCTTTTTGCCAATCGGCTTTTCTCTTCTAAGAGAATGTTAGTTCCTTCCCATTATAGGTCTCCAAAGGTAGAGCAGTGGTGGAATGATTGAATTTAACATTGCTCAATTAAAAAATACAAACAAACCAATACAAGTGAGCTGAATTATGGTAACTCTAATTCCTCAAAAAGGATACGTAGGCATTGGGGTAGGACCCGAGCGAGCACAACTTTATTTTCCCTATATTATTTTATATTTTCTTTTGTATGCATTCCCTCTTTGCATTTTCTTTTAGCTCTTAAGCTTAGATTTGAAACACACTATTTGATTAGAATAATAAGAGTGGACACCGTAGAGTACTACGGACGTGTGGGGTGCTAATACCTTACCCTAACCTAACAGACTCTCTTACCCGATCTATCAGTCGTTTGATCGTGATTTCACCCTTCTCGGGTTTACTCGATGTTTACCTTTCCTTTCCTATAGGATAAAAAACATGCAATGGTGACTTCGTTGATTTCATCTCGATGATTTGTTCATACGGTTGTTTCACCTTGTTCCTTTAGTGGCTTCTATTTTATCTTTAGAAGTATCTCCATGTTGTTGAGAATTGGCCGAGTATCCAATTCTACTGTGATGTCTGGTCATCCCTAGTATGGCTGAGTTTCCTCAACTAGTTTGTTTGTTTGTTTTGTAAAACATATACAAAACATTCATACACTCATATATCATCCATTCATTCATAATTATATCATATGCATAGGTGAAGTTTCAGGATCATTTACAGTCTGGTAATGTCTCTATCTAGAATGTGCATTACTTCTAATTACCCAATGAGTTTATTCCTCGTGGAATAATTTTTGCTTCAGTTTTCCTTCCCATCACTTTATCTGGATGGAATAAGTCTTTGGTCGAGTTCATTCCACACTGATTCGATTCTTGTTTGATCGTTTCTCTTCAGCTTGTTCCTCGATTGAATTTGGTCCCTTGCAGTAGTTGTGATATCTCTAAGGGATAACCCTAGAGGATGAAAGGTGATGTTTTGCACTCTTGAGGATTTTTTTTCCTCAGCAGAGAATTTGTTATGAAGAAGTTATGTTCCTAGTCATGTTGTTATAGCACCCTCATTGAAGTTTTACCTGACTACAAGTGGCAGTCTCTTTATTTGAGAAACTTGTTTGTTATCGTATATTTTGTGTAACTACAAGTGGTAGTCTCTTTATTTAATAAGTTTGTTGGTTATCATAAGGAAAAGTTACAGTCTCTTTATGTGAGAAGCTTGTATGTTATGGTATCTTCACATCAAGATGCCGTCTCTTTGTTTTATTCCCTTCGGAGAAGCTTTTTTTCAAATTTTTTATCCTCGTCCAATCAAGTGAAACCCTGGATTCATTATTTGAACATGTGCCATCTCTTTGTTTTAGAAACCTGTTGCGACTCCATCAACTATTCCATCAAATGGCATCTCTCCAATATGCCCCTGTTAGAGATGTTTATTGTGAAATATTTCTCACCCTCGATAGGTGGAGCTCTCTTTATTTGAGAATCCTATTGTGTAATCTAACATACCCGCATCTCTTTTGAGTATCCCTGGTAGAGTTATTGATTCCTAATTCCTAGCAAGTGGTAGTATCTTCATTAGAGATAGCTTGTATTTTGTCCTTTCCGGGTGGAAGACTTGGTTAAAGAAGAAACTGTGACCCGTTATTGGTTGATGACCAAAAGGATAGGGAGGTTTATTTCCCCTTTTAATGTGTAAGACTTGATCAAGGAATAAGATGAGACTCGTTCTAAGCGGAATACCCGAAATAGTAAAAGCTTGTTATCAAATTCAACTTGGTTCGTTATTTGACAAGTGGTTGTCTCCTTAATTGAGAAGCCTATTGTGATCCAGTAATGTATAAACCCCTACAAGTAGTTATCTAGTTATTTGAGAAGCCTCTTGTGTAAACTAATTTTCTCGTATATCTTTTTAGTATCTTCGGCAAAGTTATTGATTATCTCAAGAAAATTGCTACTTTTTGAGGAGTTTTCTTGGTACAATTATCAAGTTAAACACTTGATTAAAAAATAAGTTGATACCCATTATAGGTTGAATACCAGATATAATGGAAGCTTGTTATGATATTACCTTTTGTATTTACCTTCATCTATGAGTCGATATTATCTTGTACACTGCATTCAATTATGGGTTGGTAGTAAGTCGTTTGTCCTCACTCCTTATTTAGGGTGTTTTCCCCTATTTAGTTAGTAACTTTCTATTTTAGATTTCCCCAGTGGAGTCTATATTCTCATCCTTTTCTCACCACCTATTAAGGGGTTTTCTTTCCCAAGTAGAGTCTATGATCCCTTTTTCTCTCTAGTTTTATTTCCCATTGGAGTTGGTAATCCTGTTGTTGCTTGCATTGTAAAGTTTTCCCTAGTGAAAGTATTTCACTGAAGTCTCTTGCTCCTTTCATTTGGAAACAATGCAATTTTCCCCAGTGGTGTTTCTGCTTTGTTTTCCTTTTAAGATTCCCTGCATGTGGTGTCTTGTTACCAGTGAGTTATGTCTCTCTGAAGGACTTCCTTCGTGTTTTAGTCTGTGTCATGTGGCATTATTTCCCACAGATTCCTTTACATCTGCATTTATATCATAAATATTACACAACATCTTAGGGCTAAAAATCAGGTATTCGTATTTAAGTCTCTTCAATTTTGTCAATACAAAGAATTTCAATCTTCATCTCTCCAGATAGAAGAAACTTAAATAGGGGCATTTGTCATATCTTAAATAAATGTTCACTGATTTTTCAAGCTTCACATGTATTGCATCCTCTCACTTCAGTTATAAATAAATGACACTATCGCACTCTATTTCAAGCTTGGATAGCCTCTCAAAACCTTGTTCCAACTCAAAAATTTTCTCCAAAAAGTGTGAGATTGTGTTTTCATTCCAAGCATTTTCAG